CTCACCTCAGTCGTGAGCTCCTGCCAGTCACCAGCTAGCCCCTGCTCCCTGGGGCAGACTGCAGTATGAACCACTCATTACAGGCAAGGTTGGGTTTGGACCTGCTGCCTCTGCCTACCCGTGGCTGCCCCTGAAACCCCCGTACCTAATAGGCCTTCCCAGGCCAGAGCTCCCCAGCTCCCTTGGCCTTTCCACAACCCTGCTCCAAACTAGATCCTCTATTTAGGTCTCTGCAGCCAGGCCTCTCCCTCTCAGAGCAACAAACAGAGTGTTCTTCTGCACCTCGCTTCCCTGGCTTTTATAAGGCCTGCTGGGTCTGTTTGGGGCGTGGCCCCCAGCTGCAGCTGCTCTGCCAATCAGCCCAGCTTTTCCCCTGCCCCAGACCTCTCCCAGGGCTATTTTAAACCCCTCTGGGCCTGAGCAGGTGTCTACTCTGCTACAAGCTCCCACAGGGTAAAAAACCATCAGGAAGTGAAACTACACCAATCCTGCTGCAAGAGGATTATCTGAACCGATGGAGTTAGGTTAGGAATTGGGTGGGTCCCAGACAGCAGCCACATCAAGGGATGGGAGATTCCAAGGGCCACACCATCTATCTCAGGGCTCTGAAGAAGGGGACAGGGCTAGCATCTTTACCCTTCCCTGGCCTGAGGTGGGCAGGAGGTGTCAGAAAGCAGGTATGGAACTGCAGAGTAAGCAGGGAGCATCTGCTTCTCAGATCAAAGGAATGTCTTTAGCAAATCAGAAAGTGCCTTAGAATTTCATAAAAATGAAAGAATTTTAAAAATATAAGTTAAAATATGTTCTGCTGTTGAATGCCGCCCCTATGGTTTAGCTATTGGTTGTTAGATTCAATGGCCAGAAGGGACCATTGTGTGCAAGCTGGTTTTGTCATACAATACGTGATGGTGGTACCCCACATAACTTCCAAACCAGCAGGACAAAAAGTGTCATTACTATAAGAGGTATATTTGAGTATACGAGTTCATATTCTATACAGTTTTTTAGAAGGAGAAAGAAATCTGTCAATATATAAACAGATCAAAAAGTTATTTATAGACTGCACCATATATATTAAAGGTAGAAATAAAATTATTAGGTAAACTTGTCCTCCTTACTAATGCAAAATGGTTCCTTTCATTATATTCTCTTTTCTGCTGTTTTATTCAGTCTTCCTTTAAATGAATCAAGTGATGAGTTCTAGAACTATGCAGAGCCTATTTCACAATCTAATAGATTTCACTGTTAATAATATTGTCCTGATATTCAGCCTAAATTATCCATGACGACTGACAAGGTAATGTACCTAAAAGCAACATTTTATTGAAGCTGGACATTTATGAATAGATAGACCCAGAACTATCCATGAAGTATTAAACAAAAAGGTATTTAAATCATTTAAAATTTTGTGCTCCTTGATTGATCTGTTCTAACATGGCATAACAACAACAAAAATGTTAAACCATTCTTCAGATATATCCGTTATTTGTCAAGTTAAAAATATTAGAGTTTCAATTTGTTTGGTTTGCTATAATGTGTATGACCTAGGCTTGGATAATTTATTTTAAATCTACTGTCTGTAAACTAAACCTGATCGAAAATGGCAATAGTGTATTTTCTGTCAGTTCAGTGGTTACTGCTACTGTTACTCTATTTTGGGGACAACTCCCACTCTCAAATCTGAAGTAGAATTACAATGCCGGTCATTGTACTGTCCCTGCTGGAAAACATGTGGTACAAGAAAAGAACTTCATGTTTCTGAGTCATCTCTCCTGTCTTAAATAGAGCTTATCGATCTTGGTAAACCAAACATGGAAACCACAGTACAATTAAACATTTTGTGTTGACAACTAATTAGCTAATTTACATTTTCTTGTCAGTAAATAGTCCTCTTTTTAAGGATTATACTTCTCAAACACTGAAATGGAAAACCAAAATAAGAAAGGACAAGGGAAGGGAATTGAAGTGATTAATATTGTGAAACAGACATCATTTCAATTCACAGGGTAGGTAACTTATGTTGCAATCCAATGTTTTGACTGAGATGCCCTTCATATTTCCAGCATCTCTCAAGATAAAGCAGTTTATTGGGCAGCATTTAGGTATTTGAAGACATTATCCAACACCCACTACTGTGCTTTTATTAAAAAAAAAAAACTTAAATGTTTAATGCACAATTGTCAAGTAAATGACTGGATTAACCAAGTTATTCACTTCAGGTCAGATCCTGCCACCCTTATGCTCTCTGAGCAGGGCCGGCTCTACAGTTTTTGCTGCCCTAAGCAGTGAAAAAAACTGCTGCCGCGGACAGCAAAAGGGAGAAGCTGCTGCCGATTTGCCGCCACGGCCGGTGGGACAGAGGGGCTGCTGCCGAATTGCTGCTGCCGCAGAAACACTGCCGCCCCAAGCACCTGCTTGGAACGCTGGTGCCTGGAGCCGGCCCTGTCCCTGAGTGGTGCCTTGCTGTGTAAATACTCCCACTGAAGCTGATGGGACTAGCTGAGGAAAGAGACACTAGTTAGTGGGTGAGTAAGGGCTGCAGAATGCAGCATTTAATAACTAACAGACAAGAGTCACTGAATGTCAGAGGTGAGGAGCCATTTGACTGTCTAAAGGCAAATGGCATGTCAGAGTGCAAAGTGAATTCTTAATGAAAGCCCAGTAGACTGAATTATTCATTCCTGTTAGAGACCTTTTGAAATGACATATTTTGGTGCAAATGATAAAATCTACAATATAAACACAATATTAGAAATAAAGTTGATAAACCAAATTCTGTTTCCAGTTATACCGGCAGAACCTGGAGCAGTGGAATTCAGTGGGCAGAACAGTTGTTCAGATGTTGAAGAAACATTGTTTTGTGCAGCAAGAGTTTGATTCTGGGAAAGTGGATCCTTGGACTCAGCTAGAATAAGCGTGCACATTATGGTGGCCCTCTGCATGGAAGTGTTAAGGAGGGAAGGGGCTCTCATCGCAGCCAGTGCACCTATAATTTGGCTCTTAATTGTTTTTGTCATTCAAAATATTCTGCACTGAATAAAAATACATATAGACAACTCTGGTTAAGAACCAAAATATAAGAAGTAACAAAGTGTTTTTGTGGTTAAGGCACCAGACTGGATTTCAGGAGTTCTGGATTCAATTCCTGGCCAAGTCAACAGACTTCCTGTGTACCTAAGAGAAGTCACTTCATCCTTTTGTGCCTTGGTTTCCCCATCTGTAAAATGAAGATAACTGTCCCTCTGCCTATCTAGATTGCAAGCTCTTTGGAGTACAGTCAGACTCTTACTAGCTATGTGTACAATACGTAGCACAATTGGACCACCAGGTGCTCCTATAGTACAAATAATAAGGTATTGTTATTAACTCTTAAAATACAGGTCTTTGAAAAGGACATGCAGAGGAAAATCTTTAAGGTGAACCTGTGCATTTTCCAGCATAACTTTCCCCTTTCTCAGGTTTATGTGGCTCTATTTTTTTCTTTGTTAGCAAAAATATTATAATTGCATTTATAGAATTGTGTATGGTTGCTGATTTTAGCTCGACAATCGCCAATAGTTTGTCAGCTTTGTTTTTTCATTCTGATTTCCATTCATACTTTCCCAACAAAATGAGTAACTTAATAGAGTCTCATAGACTGTAAGGCCAGAAGGGACCATCACGATCATCTAGTCTGACCTCCTGCACATTGCAGGCCACAGAACCTCACCACCCACTCCTGTAATCGACTCCTAACCTCTGGCTGAGTTACTGAAGTCCTCAAATGATGATTTAAAGACTTAAAGTTACAGAAAATCCACCATTTACACAAGTTTAAACCTGCAAGTGACCCATGCCCCATGCTACAGAGGAAGTAAAAATACATCCCAGGTCTTTGACAGTCTGACCTGGGAGAAAATTCCTTCCCAGCCCCAGATATGTCGGTCAGTTGGACTCTGAGCATGTGGACAACTCCCAGCAGCCAGACACATGGAAAAGAATTCTCTGTAGTACCTCAGAGCCCTCCCTAGCTAGTGTCCCTAGTCTTCTGTTTTTAAAGAAAACCATCTAACATTTTATATGTGTAAAGAAACCATATTAGAAAAAACAACAATATAGCAATCCAAACATGAGATACCACATACTAGATAAAGGTCTGAACTACTGTAATTCTAGCTTGGCTTTTCTATATCTACAAAATGTTTTGGATCAAAAAGATGGTTACAATATTACTTTTTCTAATCTGGCTCTAACCACTACTGTGGCTCAATTCTGATTGATCTTGGTCACTGCCTGCCTTTCCAATCAAGACTAGAAGAACAAAATTCTACAAGTACTCTATCTCGTCCCCTCCTAGCAAGCTATGAGAAACTTTTGTTTGCAACATTTATATTCCAGGTGATGCAAACTGACTTAATATGACCATAAGAATGGTCATACTGGGTCAGACCAAAGGTCCATCTAGCCCAATATCCCATCTTCCGATAGTGGCCAATGCCAGATGCTTCCAAGAGAATGAACAGAACAAGTAATCATCAAAGGATCCATCCCGTCATCCAGTCCCCACATCTGGCCGTCAGAGACTTAGGGACACCAGCGGATGATCTGCTCCCTGGAGATTTATGGATGCTGGAGGAACTTCATAAACTATAGGATATAAACCAGTGAGGAGCAGGGTTTCCCCAGCCTTTGCATTTTGTGAACCAGTTTGTAGATATATGTCCCTCTCTTGGACTCATGGATCCTTTCAAAGCCCACAGCTTGACTGTCAAAACAGTTCATTCCATTGAACACCATGGAGGGCTCTGTAGATCTATTTGAGAACCTCTGATATAGAGGCTATGAAGGGGATATATAAAAAGGGACACAAATGTTGACTATTCAGTGTATTTCAATATGATATTTTTCTGAAAGAGAGGACAGTGTTCCACAGCATCAGTGGAAGTATGGGTATTCAGGGGGTATAACAATAGCAGATAACAGCTTCATCATATCTGTGACAGGAACAGTTGTTTCCTCACCTTTTTCTTCATTTTTACATTTTTGAAAATTGCATGAACTCTCCAGGTTTTTGCAAACATTGCTCCAAATGCAGTTGTATAGCCCACTGTAAGAATCCATGTCCGGACCTAAGATATAATCAAAGACACAGCCTTTTAGTTTTTCACAGGTAATTTTAATGTCTTAAATTTCTCAAAATAGTCTAAAATACCTATTGTATCTAGAGATAGTAAAAAAGTTTAGCATTTTTTTGAAAATTTTAAATTATGTTTCTCAGGGTAATGGCACAGTTGTCTTCAATTTTTTACAGAATATTTTATTGGATTTTTTTAATTTTCAAAATTTCTAATTTGTTCCCTCCTTTCTTTCCTATTTTTCTTTTTCCCATTGCAATAAAATGAAGACTGAATTCTTTCTCCCCTCCACTTTTTCCTTTGCAGTTTTCCTGCTTTTCTACTCTAACTTTTCATAATGTCTTCAACTTTGGAAAAACTACAGAATAGCAAAAGGAGAAAGGAAAGTGTGACTCTGCTGGTCTGTAACTCTGCTTGAGGAAGAAACAAACAAGAGGGCTATCAAGGCCTGCATCTTTGGGAGAGCTATAGAAGCAGCCAATAGCTCAACAAGTTAGTAAATTTGATAGATAGTGTGGAACTAAAGGGTGAAGGACCTTTATGCCAAGGAAAGTGTGTTTGGTGCAGTGAAGGAGGGACACAAAGGAGGAGGAGATATGGTTGGAGCAACAACCAGAAAGATGATCCTAACAGCAACCTTTTGAATGGACTTAAGGGACCAATGTGGATAGCATCAAAGTTAGATAGGAGGAGATTACAGTAGTCAAGATGTGAGATAATGAGGGACGGAACAAGAGCCTGGGTAGTCTGGAAAAAACAGAAAAGATTTGATCTTAAAAAAATATCATATAGATAAAAGTTGGGAGACATGGACATGGCCTGAATGTATAGGTCTTAGAGAGAGAGGACCGAATCACAGATATCATCTAGATTGTGGCCTTGAGTGATTGAGAAGATAGTGGTCTTATAAACAGTAATGGGAAAATAGAGGAAAGAGGAAGCTTAGAACGAGAACCAGGATAGAACAATGCCTCAAAAGCAATGGAGGCAGAATTTTAAGTAGGAAGTCATCAATGACACCAAAGACCACTGAGAAGTCAAGGAGGATGTGGCTGGAGTACAGCCCTCTGAAAGCAGCTAACAAACAAATGTACTTAATGTTATTGTAGATAATGGCTTCCTACAGATTTCCATGGAGAAAGAATTACTGTACACATATGACAGGTTTCAGAGTAACAGCCGTGTTAGTCTGTATTCGCAAAAAGAAAAGGAGTACTTGTGGCACCTTAGAGACTAACCAATTTATTTGAGCATAAGCTTTCGTGAGCTACAGCTCACTTCATCAGATGCATACTGTGGAAAGTATAGAAGATCTTTTTATACACACAAAGCATGAAAAAATGGGTGTTTACCACTACAAAAGGTTTTCTCTCCCTCCACCCCATTCTCCTGCTGGTAATAGCTTATCTAAAGTGATCACTCTCCTTACAATGTGTATGATAATCAAGTTGGGCCATTTCCAGCACAAATCCAGGCTTTCTCCCCCCCACACACACAAACCCACTGTCCTGTTGCTAATAGCTTATCTAAAGTGATCACTCTCCTTACAATGTTTATGATAATCAAGGTGGGCCATTTCCAGCACAAATCCAGGGTTTAACAAGAATGTCTGAGGGGGAGGGGTAGGAAAAAACAAGGGGAAATAGGTTACCTTGCATAATGACTTAGCCACTCCCAGTCTCTATTCAAGCCTAAGTTAATTGAATCCAATTTGCAAATGAATTCCAATTCAACAGTCTCTCGCTGGAGTCTGGTTTTGAAGTTTTTTTGTTGTAATATCACAACTTTCATGTCTGTAATTGTGTGACCAGAGAGATTGAAGTGTTCTCCGACTGGTTTATGAATGTTATAATTCTTGACATCTGATTTGTGTCCATTTATTCTTTGACGTAGAGACTGTCCAGTTTGACCAATGTACATGGCAGAGGGGCATTGCTGGCACATGATGGCATATATCACATTGGTGGATGTGCGGGTGAACGAGCCTCTGATAGTGTGGCTGATGTTATTAGGCCCTGTGATGGTGTCCCCTGAATAGATATGTGGGCACAGTTGGCAATGGGCTTTGTTGCAAGGATAGGTTCCTGTGTTAGTGGTTCTGTTGTGTGGTATGTGGTTGCTGGTGAGCATTTGCTTCAGGTTGGGGGCTGTCTGTAGGCAAGGACTGGCCTGTCTCCCAAGATTTGTGAGAGTGAAGGAGACTGTGCTGACAGCTTGTGCCACACGCTCTCAAAGAAACTGCGGAACCACCTGATCAACTATTTTACATTTGGGGACAATGTATACCTTCAAATCAGTGGCACTGCTATGGGTACCCGCATGGCCCCACAGTATGCCAACATTTTTATGGCTGACTTAGGGGATGAGAGCTGAGGAAGCGTTGTTCTAACGCCCCTACTCTACTTGCACTATATTGATGACATCTTCATCATCTGGACCCATGGAAAAGAAGCCCTTGAGGAATTCCACCATGATTTCAACAATTTCCATCCCACCATCAACCTCAGCCTGTTCCAGTCCACACAAGAGATCCACTTCCTGGACACTACAGTGCTAATAAACAATGGTCACATAAACACCACCCTATACCGGAAACCTACTGACCGCAATTCCTACCTACATGCCTCCAGCTTTCACCCTGACCACACCACACAATCCATTGTCTATAGCCAAGCTCTGCGATACAACCGCATTTGCTCCAACCCCTCAGACAGAGACAAACACCTACAAGATCTCTATCAAGCATTCTTACAACTACAATACCCACCTGCGGAAGTGAAGAAACAGATTGATAGAGCCAGAAGAGTTCCCAGAAGTCACCTACTACAGGACAGGCCTAACAAAGAAAATAACAGAACGCCACTAGCCGTCACCTTCAGCCCCCAACTAAAACCCCTCCAACGCATTATTAAGGATCTACAACCTATCCTGAAGGATGACCCAACACTCTCACAAATCTTGGGAGACAGGCCAGTCCTTGCCTACAGACAGCCTCCCAACCTGAAGCAAATACTCACCAGCAACCACATACCACACAACAGAACCACTAACACAGGAACCTATCCTTGCAACAAAGCCCGTTGCCAACTGTGCCCACATATCTATTCAGGGGACACCATCACAGGGCCTAATAACATCAGCCACACTATCAGAGGCTTGTTCACCTGCACATCCACCGATGTGATATATGCCATCATGTGCCAGCAATGCCCCTCTGCCATGTACATTGGTCAAACTGGACAGTCTCTACTTCAAAGAATAAATGGACACAAATCAGATGTCAAGAATTATAACATTCATAAACCAGTCGGAGAACACTTCAATCTCTCTGGTCACACAATTACAGACATGAAAGTTGCGATATTACAACAAAAAAAACTTCAAAACCAGACTCCAGCGAGAGACTGTTGAATTGGAATTCATTTGCAAATTGGATACAATTAACTTAGGCTTGAATAGAGACTGGGAGTGGCTAAGTCATTATGCAAGGTAACCTATTTCCCCTTGTTTTTTCCTACCCCCCCTCCCCCCGACGTTCTTGTTAAACACTGGATTTGTGCTGGAAATGGCCCACCTTGATTATCATACACATTGTAAGGAGAGTGATCACTTTAGATAAGCTATTACCAGCAGGAGAGTGGGGTGGAGGGAGAGAAAACCTTTTGTAGTGGTAAACACCCATTTTTTCATGCTTTGTGTGTATAAAAAGATCTTCTATACTTTCCACAGTATGCATCCGATGAAGTGAGCTGTAGCTCACAAAAGCTTATGCTCAAATAAATTGGTTAGTCTCTAAGGTGCCACAAGTACTCCTTTTCTCTTTGTACACATATGACCAGGCAGAGACCAAAATGTATAAGGTGAATGAGACATTGAGAGTAGAAATCATTGGAGAAAGGTATCCAGGATGGCAAAAAAAAAAAAAAAAATTAAAAAATCAAAGTTTACAAAGAATGTGAAATCTTTAGGTGTATCTTATAGATAGCAGTTTTGCTATTCACCTCAATATAGCAGAGTTAAGTCAACTCCAATTGGTTTCGAAAATCCACATTATACCACAGTTTTTAGGCTACTGGTTTGTGATTTCTCTTCTAGTCAGCATGCAATGGGTTCTTTTCCCAAAATGTGTGTGTAGCGAGGTGGTGTGGCTCCCTGCTGCCCCGGAGAGGGTCGAGCCCCTCCAGACACCACAGTGGGCAGAGCCAGGAAGCTCTGAGCCCACCCCTCAGAGGGACAGGCAACGACCCAGAAGTAGAAAGGCGGGCCCTCAGAGCTCACTAGAGAACCAGCCGCTGGGGAGGCCAGATGTAGCCAGCCTAGTCCACAACTGGGAAAACCCCACGGCCCCAGGTCCATGCCAAGACTGGCCAGACCTGCCCTGCGCCAGCTACCCAGGGGAGTGGCTGGACCTCCCACTGGTCCACTGCCCCGAGGAGCCCATGGTGCTGGACTCCCCCAGGGAACACCGCCGTGACCCAGGTACCGGAAGGAGGGGACTCAGGAAGTAGCCCGGGGGCAGCCGACCCTCGTCTGGCTGTAACTCTGCCAGAACGCATGTCAGTGTGTTGCGGTCAGGGTCCCCACTGACTCAGCAGCAGGTCGTTTGCTGCTGCTAGGGCCCCGGATTGGGACGCAGTGGAGTGGGTGGGCCTGCGTCCATCCAGTCTCCCCCTCTTCCAGGTCCTTGGAGGCCTGGGCTAATTCACACATGCTGTGTTGCTCAGCCCCTGCCTGAGCTACTGACTATTTGGTGCCTCGCTATGACTCAGGGCCCAGGCCTACGGTGCTCATTCCAGTTAGCACAAGGGCTGCCGAGGGAGACTCCGGTGGCTGGACAAATTCCCCCAAAATTAACTGTGTGTAGCGAGCCGGTGTGGCTCCCTGCCGCCCCGGAGAGGGTTGAGCCCCGGCCTAGCCCCTTTACAGTGTGATAATTGTATGTGATGTTCAAATGTGTTAATAAATATTCAATACTTTTGAGTACACAATAGTGA